GTGTCTACTTTCCAAAAAGGGGTCATTTGGGGGGGGGGGGTGCTCTCCTGGCATTTCAGGGCCTCCAAAACTGTGATAGGTAGTCAGGAACTGTAGTGAGGAAATAAAGCCATTTAAAAAAGCCTGAAGGTGCTTATTGGATTTTGGATCCTGTACTTGGCTAGACTGCCAAAACGTCTCTCATATGTGGTACCCCCATACTCGGGAGAAGACGCAGAATGTATTTTGAGGAGTAATTCCACATATAACCATGGCATGTGTGAGCAACAAATCATTTAAGTGACAATTTTGTGTAAAAAAAAAAAAAAAAACTGACACTTTTTGTTCACATGAAAAAAGTCAGTATTTTTTGCTAGGAAATTACTTTGAACCCCCCAAACATTATATATATATATATTTAATGCAGACACTCTAATGAATAAAATGGTGGGTGCTGCAATTTTTTATGTCACATAGTACTCACGAAGCGATTTTTCAAATGCAAATTTTTTTTAATGCACAAAAACACAATATATTGGCTAATTATTTAGTAAAATATAGAAGATGATGGTATGCCGAGTAAATAGATACAAAACATGACATGCTTTAAAACTGCGCATGCCCCATGCAATGGCGACAAACTGCATACATTTGTAATATCCATAGGCACTGCTTTAAAAACCTTCATAAGATACTATTTTAGATTTACAGAGGAGGTCTAGTGCTAGAATTACTTCCCTCAATCTGACATTCGCGGCGATACCTCACATGCATGGTGCAACCGCTGTTTACAAACTGGCACAGGGTCAACGCTCGCGTATGCAGGTGTGCCCAGGGGGGCAAGGGTGCTATTTTTTTTATTTGATTTTGTTAGTTATTTTTACACTGTCCCTTTCGTTTTGTTTTAACACTTTTAATGCTATAACAGGGAATGCGAATATCCCCTATAACTTCAATGGGCATTGTCATATATTCTTTTTTGAGAAATCTGGGGTCTATCAGACTCTTGATATCTCCTCTGCGCTTACATTATCTAATATCACTAAAATCAGTGTGATCAGATGCTTTCCCAATTTCCAAATGGCGCTGTTTACATCCTACAAAACTAAAGCGATGAAATGTATTTTATTTATTTATTGCAGGTACTTATATAGCACCATCAATTTTTATTTATTTATTTACACAGCGCTTTACATATATATTGTACATTTACATCAGCCCCTAACCCTCAAGGGGTGTACAATCTAAGGTCCCTAACTCACATTAATACATACACATACTAGGGCCAATTTAGACAGGATCCAATTAACCTACCAGCATGTCTTTGGAGTGTGGGAAGAAACCGGAGTACCTGGAGGAAACCCACGCAGGCACAGGGAGAGCATGCAAACTCCAGGCAGGTGGTGCCGTGGTTGGGATTTGAACCGACGACCCTAGTACTGCCAGGCGGAAGTGCTAACCATTTAGCCACTGTGCTTCCAATTTCTTAGACTATAGAGATGATTGGCACCATTCCGGTCTCCAATCAGCTCTATGGCCAGCTGGCAGAAACACCAACTGCACTCAAAGTTCAGTGATATACCAGTACGTTGCTGGTCCTTGTAAGGTGTATATGCTATGTTTTTTTTTTTTTTTTCTTTTTTTTGTGCAGCCTGTGGGCTGAATGAAAAAAAGAAGAAATCTCGGCCAGAAAAAGTGTGTGGATTTGAGGATTGGGCCACAGCACCTTCTGGATACAAAAGGGACATGATGATCTCTTCCTGGAATTTCAGGAAGGATCCATTGCGTCCAGTTGCTTTGTAAATTACAAAAGCTTTATATATAGCCAATTGAAATAAATAAATAGACACCTTTCTGTACCAGTGTTGAGCTTTCCAGGAAACTAGGTATGGATTCATCATTTGGTTGTTGAAGTCCACCCCTCTCATGTTAAGTCGTGGACACAGAGGGGTTTCTTAACAACGCCAGATACCGTGTTAATTTGGACTATCACGTCTGTGTGAATGGAGGACAGGATGAAAACATCCCATTTGTCCTTCCACTTCACTGCAAGCAATTCATCATTCCTCAAGCAGGCTTTCTCCCCCTTTCTAAGTACGGTATTTACAAGCCATTGTGGGAGATTAGCTCGCACAGTGCCACATGAGCCAATTTCAAGATTGTACAAATGTCTAAATAGTGGCACGCTTGTATACAAATTGTCCACATACACAGTTGTGTTCAAAATAATAGCAGTGTGTTGAAAAAAGTGAATAAAGCTCAAAATCCTTCTAATAGCTTTTATTTCCATACACACAAATGCATTGGGAACACTACACATTCTATTCCAAATCAAAACATGAAGAAAAATAGATCAAATTTGTGTTGTTCCTCTAAAAAAAATTGAAGAAAAGTGAATATTAGACTGTTCAAAAAAAATAGCAGTGTTTGTATTCTTCTTTACAAACTCAAAACATTCACTATATAAACTGAAAATGTTAGAAGATTTTGCTTTCCTTTGAATCACTTAATGAATATTTTGTTGTATAAGCACTGTTTCTGAGAACTGCTGTACATCTGTGTTGCATGGAGTCAACCAACTTCTGGCACCTGTGAACAGGTATTCCAGCCCAGGATGATTGGACTACATTCCACAGTTCTTCTCTATTTCTTGATTTTGCCTCAAAAACTGCATTTTTGATGTCACCCCACATGTTTTCTATTGGATTAAGATCCGGGGATTGGGCAGGCCACTCCATATTGTCAATCTTGTTGGTCTGGAACCAAGATGTTGCACGTTTACTGGTGTGTGTGTTTGGGTTGTTGTCTTGTTGGAACACCCATTTCAAGGTCATTTCCTCTTCAGCATAAGGCAGCATGACCTCTTCAAGTATTCTGATTAGAGATGAGCGAATCGAACATGACGAAGTGGAATTCGTTCCGAAGATTTGGAAAAATTCTATTCGCGACGAATCCGAAGATTAGCAAACTTCGGATGCACGAATCGAATTTTCCCAAAAATGGCGGCGGCGACATGTGTGGCGACGGAGAAAATGGACAGAGAAGATGGGGCGGGGATCTCTGGGAAGGCGCGCTGACCCATAATGCATTCATGACATGTGATCGCATTAGCCAATCAGCAGCCAGCCAGCACTGTGTAATGGTGGAGCTATAAATCGCGGCCATCTTAGAATTCTCCATTAGCCTCCGGTCATTCAAGAGAGACAGACCTGTGTGTATTAAGGGACAGAGTTAGGGCCACAGAGACTTTAGGGCCACAGAATCGTTACTCAGGGACACAGAATCGTTACTTAGGGCCACAGCTATCAAAGAATCGAAAATTTAAAGTGACATACACCCCCTTTTTTTTTTTGGTGGCTGTCGTGCACAGTTGGTGCTGCTGCAGTTTTGGCCGATTGTGCAAAATAAACTGACTTTCTGCTTCACAACCACTATTGTACGTTCAAAGAGTTAAATCCATTTACACGCCGGCTGGCGGTAATATTTTTTGGTGATTAGTGCATTCCAGTGACACAAACGTACAGTTTCCAGCCAACGGCAAGCTGCAATTGACCGATTGTGTACAATAAAACTGACTTTCTGCTTCACAACCACTATTGTACGTTCAAAGAGTTAAATCCATTTACACGCTGGCTGGCGGTAATATTTTTTGGGTGATTAGTGCATTCCAGTGACACAAACGTACAGTTTCCAGCCAACGGCAAGCTGCAATTGACCGATTGTGTACAATAAACTGACTTTCTGCTTCACAACCACTATTGTACGTTCAAAGAGTTAAATCCATTTACACGCTGGCTGGCGGTAATATTTTTTGGGTGATTAGTGCATTCCAGTGACAGAAACGTACAGTTTCCAGCCAACGGCAAGCGTTGTGCGCATTAAGCCAGACACCAAAGGGCAGCACAGACCTGTTATTACTCGCTCAAGCATGGCTGAACAAAACCAGTCTCTACCACAAATTGGACCCAGACCTGCCCAGGGTCTCGTAACTAGATTGCACGGAGGAGTAGAGTCCGTTATCGGAATTAAATAGACAAAACGCCACACCAAAAAGAGTGGCCATTTCCAACACTTATTCCAGAAAGAGGAACAACCCGTTTCATATACGGCCCCGTAGACGTTTCACGTCTGCCTACATTCAGTCGATTTAAGACGCAAGCTCCACTTCCTGTGGTCTCTGACTGTCAATATACCTTTAAGTGTCAACTTTGAAGCTATATTCCCTCCGGAGCACTGACACTGGTGCCCTTCCGTCAAACATGCCTTTAAGTTTCAGTTTTCAACCATATTCCCCACAGAAGCCAAACTCTTGGGTATCCCAGAAGCTGCTCAGCGGGTCAGGGCAAATAAAGCTCCCGGTTCGCAGGTTGTTCCGTCTTATGGATGGAAGTACGACGGTATATGATCTTCTTCGCACCCACGGCATTACCTCATAAAATTTCTGCATTGCATCTGCAATCACAACGCTGACTTCCCGGATCGCCACTCAGCCATTGGACTCTTGATAGTCGTCTCCCCACACTGCTGCTGGGGGGACTTTTTAACCTAGGCCTGTGTATGGCCTTCAATTGAAGCTGCTTCCGCTCCGCCACTCTGCCATTGGACTCTTTGATAGTCGTCTCCCCACGCTGCTGCTGGGGGGACTTTTTAACCTAGGCCTGTGTATGGCCTTCAATTGAAGCTGCTTCCGCTCCGCCACTCTGCCATTGGACTCTTGATAGTCGTCTCCCCACGCTGCTGCTGGGGGGACTTTTTAACATAGGCCTCTGTATGGCCTTTAATTGAAGCTGCTTACGCTCCGCCACTCTTGCCATGGGCCTCTTGGGTATCCCAGAAGCTGCTCAGCGGGTCAGGGCAATAAAGCTCCCGGTTCGCAGGTTGTTCCGTCTTTTGGATGAAGTACGACGGTATAATGATCTTCTTCGCACCCACGGCATCACCTCATAGAATCTCTGCATTGCATCTGCAATCACAACGCTGACTTCCCGGATCGCCACTCAGCCATTGGACTCTTGATAGTCGTCTCCCCACACTGCTGCTGGGGGGACTTTTTAACCTAGGCCTGTGTATGGCCTTCAATTGAAGCTGCTTCTGCTCCGCCACTCTGCCATTGGACTCTTGATAGTCGTCTCCCCACACTGCTGCTGGGGGGACTTTTTAACATAGGCCTCTGTATGGCCTTCAATTTAAGCTGCTTACGCTTCGCCACTCTGCCATGGGCCCATGTACCGCCTCCTCTTGCTGCTGCCAGGTCCAGAGTGTGTGTCATGGGTCCCTGTACGGCCTCCCATTGCTGCTGACTTCATCGCCAGACTCTGCCATGTGCCACTTTCAGGTCTCCTTACACTGTTGGTGGGTTTCCATTTTGTGATAGGGTGCTGTATGGCCTTCCATTGCTGCTGCCTCCACCGCCACCCTGCGCGCCATGTGCCTCTGTCGTCTGCTCACGCTGCTGACGGCTTCCGCTTTTTAACCGAGGCCTGTGTTTGGCTTCCGAATACTGCTGCATCCACCGCACCCCCTGCGCCATGTGTCTCTGTCGTCTGCTCACGCTGCTGACGGCTCCGCTTTTTAACCTAGGCCTGTGTATGGCTTCAGAATAATGCTGCCTACACCGCCACCCTGCGCCATGTGCCTCTGTCGTCTGCTCACGCTGCTGCCAGGTCCATACTGATTCATGGCCCCCTGTACCGGCTCCTCATGAACGTGGTTCAGCGGGTGTTTGCATCACTTAAACGGCAAATCGTTGACAAACGCTGGGACTTTCAGTGTTGTGCGCATTAAGCCAGACACCAAAGGGCAGCACAGACCTGTTATTACTCGCTCAAGCATGGCTGAACAAAACCAGTCTCTACCACAAATTGGGACCCAGACCTGCCCAGGGTCTCGTAAGTAGATTGCACGGAGGAGTAGAGAGTTCGTTATTGGAATTAACTGTGAGGGACTTTTAAACCTAGGCCTGTGTATGGCCTTCAATTGAAGCTGCTTCTGCTCCGCCACTCTGCCATTGGACTCTTGATAGTCGTCTCCCACGCTGCTGCTGGGGGGACTTTTTAACATAGGCCTGTATGGCCTTCAATTTTAGCTGCTTACGCTCCGCCACTCTGCCATGGGCCCCTGTACCGCCTCCTCATGCTGCTGCCAGGCCCGTAATCTGCCATGGGCCCCCGTACGACTCCTCATGCTGCTGCCAGGCCCGTAATCTGTCATGGGCCCCTGTAACCGCCTCCTCATGCTGCTGCCAGGTCCAGAGTGTGTCATGGGTCCCTGTACGGCCTCCCATTGCTGCTGTCTCCATCGCGCCACACTCTGCCATGTGCCACTTTCAGGTCTCCTCACACTGCTGGTGGGTTCCATTTTGTCCATAGGGTGCTGTATGGCCTCCCATTGCTGCTGCCTCCACCGCCACACTGTGGCTCCACACTCTGGTTTTGGCCCCCGTGACTGCCCAAATGAGTGAAGTGTGCAGTGATTCTAAGATCGACGGCACTCATCTGCATGTCATACTGACTGACAGTATTATTCTCTTCCCCAGCAGACTCCAAGGGCATTTAAATTAAAGGTACAGTGTTTCTGCACTAATATAAAGGCTCTCTGAAGCCTAGAAACACCCTTTTTTATAAGTTAAATTCGCAGCGAATATATTTTTGGCTCGAAGCGAAATTTATTCGGCGAATTCGGCGAATCAGCCGAACCGAATTTTTGAATAATTCGCTCATCTCTAATTCTGATGTATTCAAACTGATCCATGATCCCTGGTATGCGATAAATAGGCCCAACACTGTAGTATGAGAAACATCCCCATATAATGTTGCTTGCGCAACCATGCTTCATTGTCTTCACAGTGTACTGTGGCTTGAATTCAGTGTTTGGGGGTCATCCTACAAACTGTCTCCGGCCACTAGACCCAAAAAGAACAATCCTTACTTTCATCCGTCCACAAAATGTTGCGCCATTTCTCTTTAGGCCAGTCAATGTGTGCTCTTTTGGCAAATTGTAACCTCTTCAGCACGTCTTTTTTTCAACAGTGGGACTTTGCGGGGACTTCTTGCAGATAGCTTCGCTTCAGATAGGCGTCTTCTAATTGTAACAGTACTCACAGGTAACTTTAGACCTTCTTTGATCTTCCTGGAGCTGATTGTTGGCTGAGTCCTTTGCCATTTTGGCTATTTCTTTCTATCCATTCAAATGGTAGTTTTTCGCTTTCTTCCACGTCTTTCAGGTTATGTCCAATCAACTTTTTAATCAAGGTACGCTGTTTTTCTGAACAATTTCTGGAACGACCCATTTTCCTCAGAATTTCAGAGAGAAATGCACTGTAACCAGCATGTACAACATTTGCTGCCTTCCTTCCTTAAATAAGGGCAATAATTGCCACCTGTTTTTCAAAGAATGAATGACCTCACTAACAGAACACACTGCTATTATTTTGAACATGCCCCTTTCAATTAGTGATTCAATTACACAGAATCAGCAGCATGCATGTCATGACTGTTGGGTCTGTTGGATTTCTATTATTCTACACCTGCTAGTAAGCTATTTGCCATCTAGAAATATAATAATTTCTACCAAAAACAGTGATTAATCAGGTTAGTGATTTCTGACTGCTATTATTTTGAACACAACTCTAAGTGGTACCCCCTTATGGAACAAACACGACACCAGGTCCTAAACTATCTTGCCACTGCTCCCCATGTAGTCTGGGCAGTGGGGGGGCTCTACTTCGCTGTCTCTTCCCTCAAAAACCCTAAATTTGTACGTATAGCCTGTGGCCCTCTCACAGAGCTTATACAATTTGACCCCATATCTGGCACGTTTGCTGGGGATGTACTGTTTGAATGCAAGGCTGCCAGTAAAGTGAATGAGGGACTCATCCATGCAGATGTTTTGCTGGGGTGTATGCACATCTGCAAATTTCTCAGTGAGGTGGTTTATGAGGGGCCAAATTTTGTAGAGCCTGTCATGTTCAGGGTCACCCCCGAGGATGAGTGTGTTATCACGGAAATGCATGAAGCGCGTTATCGTCTCATATCTATGCCTGGTCATGGCAGCAGAGAACACAGGCTGTGGACCAATACGACCGCAACACATTCTTTTTTGTAATGCCCATGTTGAGGGTTAGGCCCAAAAAAGTTTTAAATTCAGAAACCGTAATGGGTTTTTCCATGTAAATGGTCTGGTAAGGTTTGAATTTGGGTTTGCGGTTATACAGTATATTGTTGAGCATATAAATTGCTTTGGTCCACAATCAAATTGTACAAATCTTCTGTGAAAAACAGCTCCATAAAATCAAGGGGAGTTAAATTTGCTGTTTCCACCTGAATTCCAGGTTGGGCAGTGAATGGAGTAAGTACGGGTGCTGCAGAATCTGTGAGCTGCCAATCAGGATTTGCAAGCACGTCCAGAAGGACACTATGGGCTTGTGTTTGAATTCTTGGTGGCTGAGGGACACTACTTGTGCTCGCCACCGCACCAGCTTGTACTGCACTTATGGGACTCACCACATCACCATATGATACTGCAGTACTGGTATAAAAAAGACCAGGATGTACTAGGCCGCTGGTGTGCTCGCCAGTTCACCAAAAGGTAGTGCGGCACTAGTACTGGCACTCTGCTGCATCTGAGACAAGTCATGCAACCCTAGCACTTCAGCTTCATGGGGTCGGGTATGCCTTATCTTAATAGAGACCTCTTTTCCGCCATCTGAGCTATGTGTCAGGGTGCTGCTGCTGTCTACAGGTTCGTATTCTGAGGCTGATTGTGTCAAGGAGTCTTCAACTTCGTTCTCACCTGACATGCTCAGAATCCTGTAGGCCTCTTCACTAGTGTGTCTTTCGTTGGACATTTTGGACTCTAAATTTACAGGTACCTAGTGCGACTCATGGGGAAAAGATCACCTGGCTATCAGGGACTGCTTGAACCGCTACAAAAAAAATTTACAGGCAAGTGCTAACACAGATCGGGCCTGATTCTGTGAACACTGCAGTTTTGTCTGCAATGTATTACAGGTGACAGTGATCAGAAATTATTATACTGACACTGCACTTCTTGTTAGGGATGGGGGGGAGCGTTGGGGCTAAAAGTAAGTGGTGGCAGCAAACGGGGATGATCCTGCTAACACTAAGTTTTTTGGGACACTAATACTAAGGGGGCACTGGTATAGTTTTGTTCGTGATCAATATATTAATCCGTACAAACACTATACTAGTAATGACAGTGATCAGCGACCTATAGAGTGAGTGTGATAGTGTACGGGCAATCTAACGCTAGCTGACCCTAGCTGGGAGGAACGCCCCTAACTGACCCCTAACTGACCCTGACGCTATCTGGCATCGCTAGTGGCACTAACACAGTGAATCAGTGAAAAAATACTGTACACTGACACTGTACTAATGGCACTGGCAGGGTGGCAGGGGGTAATCAAAGGGTTAAATGTGTCAATCAATGGGTTAAAATGTCTCTATCTAACGTGTGTGGGAGCTTTTACTCAAATGTGATGTCTTTCTTCTCTCTCTGGAACAAAATGGTTCCAGCGAGAGAAGAACCAGCTAGATCCTGTGCCTGTATGTACAAATAGAGGCACAGCTCTGCATCTCCATTCGCTGTACGAGATTGGCAGAGTCCCGGCCAAAATCACTGGCCAAAACCTGCTGACATACACCTCCTACACAACGAATGAGAACGCACTTTAAATCCCCGGAGAGCAAAGCAACGTACAGATAAGTCACTGTGCCTGCAGCTACCACCCATCCGCAGTACATTGCGGGTGGGCGGGAAGCAGTTAAATAAGGATGGCATGATCAGTCATATTTTCAATATCAATGCCAAAATTTCACGATTTCATTTCATTAGCTTTCAGCCACGGAATATCCCAGTCATCGGCTAAATGGGGCCAGGAGTCTAGCACTGTGTGGAAAACTGTCACAATTATGACAGCTTCCCAGCAAAGACATGCTATATTATGAGCATTAGCCTCTCCCTGTATGCCAGTTTAGAGTTGATCTTAGTTACTGCAATTTCCTAATCTGCAAAGTAATGATAATTGTTTAAAAATCTATAGCAACAGCCTCTTAAAGTGGCAGTAGTAAGAATTTTTGGCATGTATCAGTACTATTACAGAAACTGGCACAAATGCCTGCCTGAATTAAGTGGGGATAGACTTAGTGGGACCTACTGGCCAAAAAATTGTCATAAATACTTTAGTGAATTCCTCACCTGGAGTTTACAGAAACTACAGGGGAAGAACCTAGTGTAGGTTCTGGTAATTAAAGACAAAGTAAAGGCTGACCTGACTTTTTTTACGGAAGGGACAGGTGGAAAAATCTATCAAAGAGAAAAAAAGGGACAACAATAAATGGAACCTGTGCAGTAGTGAAGACTGTGACATTTCTAACTAAAGTAGTACAAATGTTCTAGGTTTTTGTGCCTGAACAATATATCTTTTTAAACAGATAAAAGAATGATAAGCTTTTAAACAGGTCTTTCCTTTTGGATGTCTGATAGTTAAAAGATGAGCAAAAATCTTCCCAACTTTAGAATGATAAAAGTTAAATTTCTCTAGGTAATCTGATGGTAGACTGCGGTGAGATTGCTTGGCAGTTGCTACAAGAAATGTACTGCTGAGTGCTTGTATAAGTGAAAATCTCAGTAAGAGAAAACAAAACAATGAAAATCACTATTCTCCTTTTGTAGCGATGGCAGGATAGTGGCTATTAAGAAAATCCCAAAGAAGACATTTACCCTTTCCAAAACTATACGGAGAGAAGTAAAGCAAATTCGGTAAATGTATGCTGTGTTCCAGTGCTAGAATAGAAATAGTTTTAGATGTGTTATGTAATTCTGTGTTTTTGTGCGTGCAGTGATTTTTTTTTGCTTATGGAACCTAATACTGCAATTTGCCATTATGTTAGCATAAAACCTTTTTATCTGGCTGGAGGAGGCTGTCATTAAAGTGGGCTACGCTGAAAGTTTCTAAAGTGAAAATAGTATGTGCTGCTCACAGTGCCCAATCACAGCTTGAATCTGACAGAAAGCAATAAAAATATGCTTGTGTTTCATTTTTGATAAAAAAAAAAGTCTAGTAATTAAATTTTTTTTTTTTAATTCAAATTGCATCGCCTCATCTTTTATAGGGATCTTGATCACCCGAATCTTTGCAAATTTATTGGTGGTTGCGTTGAAGTTCCTAATGTTGCTATTATCACAGAATATTGCCCTAAAGGAAGTTTGCATGATGTACTCGAGAGTGAGGATGTCCCACTGAACTGGGGTTTCAGGTAATTACTTGTGTATAGTTTGTGTCTATCCCCCCCTCTCTTTGAACAACACCCCTCTAGCATTTTTGGCTGTGGCCATCTTGAGT